TCTTCCTCGTTGTTAATGATAATTTTTACCAATTCATTTAAATCTTCTTTTGGCACTACATTTCGAAAGATTTGAATGTTGTCAACCCTTCTACTGCAACATCTATCCCCGTAGCTTGGAGGAGTAGCAGACTACAGTTAAGAGCTTTTCCTTGCACGGACCACCGCTAGTCCTTTGCGTCGAAACTTTGTTAAATTAAATTTTCTTTTTATATTGTGCTTTTGATTAGCAAATACCTATTTGTGTATTTAATTATTATTTTTAATCATTTACTATTTTATTTTTTTAATTATTGTTTTTTATTGATGTTATTATTCGCCAAGAACTAGCATCTTTCATCGGTAGCCCAGTATCGTTAAGTTTTAGCGTCAATGGATCCCATAGCTTAGAAAAATAACATACATTTTTCCTCTGATTGTTTGTAACTGATTTGTTTAAAAACTTTTTGTTTTTAATTTCTACTATAACGTTTCTCAAATAGCTAACGTGTTGCATTTCGATTCTTATGTACAGATGAAGTAATTTCAAATTTCGGAAGTGCGTATTCGATAACGAGTACAACGATCCGAAAACAAAAAATAAACCTGAATTTTCCTTGTTTACGGGTGCCGCGATTTGGGCCTTGGTCGAAAAATTAAAAGCTGCTTTTTATATTACGACGGAAAAGACGACAAAAGTGTCTAATATGGGAAAGGTTCTGACAGCAGACGATGTTTCCTGCAAACTCAACTTATTCTTGCATGAGTCGCTTTCATTCAAATTAATCCGTATAGGAGCTCGCCTATTATATGCAACTTTCCCATACGATTCCAAATTCCTATTATAACTAAATAAAAATTCGTATTTCGTTATAATTTATTTACCGTTCCTGCACCACGCTGGGGCAACAGCATTGGTTGAGCTTCTTCGAGAATACATATGTCTTATTAATACCAGAAAAACTTGCAGTAGTACCGTAAGAAACTGTACACTTTGCTTTCATTACAAGCCGAAGTAACAACCCCAAAAAATTTGAAATTGCCAGTTGAAAGACTTTAAGCGTTACGACCTTTTTCTTTATAAGGCGTATATTTTTGAGGTCCAATTTATGCAACCTTAGTAGGTTTCGTTTGCTTCACTTAAAATTTTTCTATTTTCGCCATAAAAAGATTCATTAGTCGCCGAGGGATGCCAGAGAAAACATCCACCGTAAACTGCGCGAGCTGGAGGAGGCCTTTCTAGCGCAAGTCCCAGAACTGATGGTATTCGCCGTCGAAGAAGGATTCAGCTTCGGCTTTATAACACCCATGGCGCCAGACTCCGGCAGCGGTGAAATCTGCCAAGCATCTGGTCGCTCGCGCACTTGACAACGCCCTACTTACAACGGAAGAGCTGTCTACATTATCTGCCGAAGTGAAAACTATTCTGAGTTCTCGTCCCCTAGCACCATTGAGCCAGGACTCTAACGACGAAAAAGTCCAGCACACCTTTTAATTGGTTGCCCCTTGCAAGCACTGTCACCAGCACAAGTGCCAATGGACCCAATTCGTTGCTGCGAGAGATGGTTTGCTGTCTCAAGGAATAATTTTGGCAACAGTTGTTCAAACTATAGTAATATGGCTGCGCACCAAATACAATCTGCAGCCCGGCGACATCGTCCTCGTTCACGAAGACAACATACCACTGCAGAAGTGATTTCTAGGACGAGTCGTCGAAAGCAATTGGTTATTTTAAATTTAGTGAAATCTCTCAGACCAAATAGTGACTTTCTTTCTCAAAAACTCTTGAGAATTTACAATAAATATTAACAATATCAACAAGGGGACAATTTATTAAAATCCAGACCACCATTCATCCAATAGAATAGGAAAGTCTTCAAATACTATGATTGGAATCCTTGTAGGCACCTAAGGTAAACAATATAAAACAATTAGACCAAATTCATACAGAATCCTCTTCGACCCGTATCGATATAATTTTGCTATATACCATTAATATAGCAATAGTTGTAATTCGAAAATTTTGCATAAAACTCAAAGAAAATTGGAAAGGAATCGACACAAATCATGAATAAAACAAACAAAACAAACAATTTTCTTAAATCGACAATTCCACAGCATACCATGCTTTTAATGCCTACTTGAGGAAGTAGAAGGTCGGAAATGACGATAGACTAAAAAAGACAAGTACTGTCAATTTATCAAACCATGGAGTTTGTCATTCGGGTCAAATCAAGACGGCCGAATGTCGGAATTTAGTATATCGGTGGAAACTCCGTAGACAACGAGAACAAAAGCAAGAATCCGTTCTTAAACTGACGTCGTCGTCGGAAAGTGTTCCTTCGTCATTTTAATTTAACATTTTCGGTATTTTTGTGAAATTATATCTAATCCGCTCTGTACATTAATTTAATATTTTTCAATGTCATTGCGAGCTGCAATTTTGTACAAACTATAATTAAAAACTTTAATTTGCTTAAGGATTCCAAAATAAAGTCTCACTCTGATAATGTGAGAAATGGGGTGTTAGTTAATTTGGAATCGTGTTGTAGTGGCAAATCCCATATATATATATATCCAATAAATGAACTTGACAATTCCTCAGTTATGAAAAAAATTTAGTAAAATCAGCTCAGAAATTAACTGCCCCATATATACTCCGTATAATGAGTTGGTCCACGTCAAAAAAAACAAATTAAGTTAAGCCTCTTTAATTAAATGTATATCATATAATTCTCATTAAAAAATAATATTGATATATTTTTTATCGAGACGAAGTGTATTAATAAAGCAAAGTGAGACTTTGACCTTCAATATCAGTTGATAAAATACCAAATTGGATTGTATTGCATTCATAATTTCGTCGAATAATGAATATTGAATGCTTTCGTTACATTTTGTTATTCTTGCAACCAGTTGCTAAAGAGTAGTATATGTAGTTTTGTTCATCTAACGGTTGTACGTATCACCTAAAAATAATCGAGATAGATATAGGGTTATATATAAACGAGTATATGTATATAAATTATCAGAATTCCTTAGTACAAAAATATATTCTAGTTCATAGATGAGTTCATCGTAATTAACCTAAAACATATAAAGTGCAATAACTAAGCTCTATATTAAAATATAAAGCTGTAATTTGGTACAATGGTACACTTTAACAAATTTAATTTACACATCTCCTAAACCACTTAAGCTACAACAGCCAAATTTTCTGAGTACAAAAATTATAAGAACTTCACTAGACCCTGTAAAAATGGATAAAATCGGAATATAACCTCGCTCACTCCCCACATAACGGTACCGTTCAAAACTACTAAAAGCGCGACAAATCAATAAGTAAATGCGCTAGAGGCATACAAATTTACCTATGATAATATAACAAGGCTTTATAAGGCCAGGATAAAAATTGGACGATGGGCATGGCACCGCCCTCTTTTTGGCGAAACCTCAAATCTCGGGACCCGACCAACCGATATCGACAACATTTAATACGTGTCAGTCTTCTTATATTCCAATGTCAAAGTGTGAAAACGGATAAAATATAACACAATTTTAAATTCCACTTCATTCTTTCACTTTCCAGTACAAAATTCAAGAAACAATTAAAATAACGCGATAAAATTTTACACAAATAATATCTTTAGTGTGTGCCACCTTATAACCAAACGTTTTTTCAGTCCAATAAAAACAGTTGAAGTCCCTACGTAGCGAATATTTAGACCTCTGTACCTATAGTTGACTTTTGATCGAAAATGCCGGTCGAAATGTGATATATATAACTGAAATTAATGTATAATCCTTCTCTTATAACGGTATGGTTGAATCGGAAAAATACTTCCCTTAGCGCCCATATACTTGATATAAAGATTTTCGAACTTCCGGTTGACTTTGTACCGCATATATCGGCGAATATGTGAGTTATCCCAATGAAAATAAGATAGCGTATTTTATTCGCAACAATATATCTGAGTGCCTAAAATAGATAAATTTGAGCGAAAACTTAGCGTAGCCCTTGTGTCCTTATTGAAACATGTACCTTAAGTTCAATCAATCTGGACACAGCGTTCCAAATTTTAGAGTAAAATTGGTATAGTAATTTAGGAATTTACCTCGATCAAAACAAGTCAMGTAATTTTGTACAGATTAATCTATATCTAGCTCGATCCAAACTATTATGCCCTATCGTAACATATTACGAGAGTAAAAAAATTGAAAACATTGTGTTTTCGTTGCCAAACTGTTCAGTTGTTGTAATAATGTCTAAAAATGTTCAATTATTGCTTTTTTGCGTTCCTATGTTGTAATTTGTGGTCTATATTAAAACGTTTCACTTCGAATGATCTTGTAACAAGTTCTTCTGTCCGCGCGGAAAGAGCTTTGTCCGAGAGGTCGAAATAATTAAGTTCTAATGGCGGAGTTTTCATATTTTTTACGAAAATTAAAAAAAAAAATGTGTCAAATATATTCAAAACGATTAGAAGTTTGATTGAAATAATTTATTTTTCTTATTACATAAGAACAATTCTTGAAAATATGCCGTGTTTTTCTCGATGAAACCCTAATGATTGAATTAACATAATCTGGTACCGCAGTTATTTATTGCTTATAAATCATTCAAATTATTTAATCAGATTAAATGAAGAAATCATATTTTCATACAGTCTTATTTAGAATTGCATTGACTTCAAAAGTACAAGTCCAGACTAGAAGAGGATATCGAAACAAAGATTATACCATAAAGTAGGTTTCATATAATATGTTATCAGAATCGCTGACCAATTGCGAAGCTCTGCTCAAAACTAAATGTATCTCTTCTCTCTGCACAAAACATAAAAATTATAATTTGTGCTCTACTTAGTGATCGCAGAAAAATATTGTGCAAAGTTACCAACTTACCTAGAGAGCAAAGAAGCATTTATGCAAAAACATACTCGGAAGGAAAGAATTCTATTTCACCCTTAATTTATTTGTCATGTTTGACATTGTATATAATAATTTAACTCAATAATGAAAGAATACGTTGAAATATGCATTTTATTTAAAGATATACATACATCTTCAAGGCTATAATGCACTTTTTGTACGACTTTACATTATTTTTTTTTTCGTTTTGTTTTGTTATAGTAATTCCTTTTCATTAAAATTGTTTCTTGCTTCGTGTTCATCATTATCCACATCATGATATTTATTTTCTTTTAAGTTATGAGCATCTTCCGTTGGTTGCTTTTCATTTAGATTTTTAGCGAAATCGGAAGAATGAGGTTCCTTTGTCACTAAACTTGGAAACGTTTTGACGTTATCGCTAAGAGAAGTATCAAGATGTTGCCTTAAAATAGGTTCGTTAGAGAAAATTGCTGTTGCACATCTTTTGCTGTCAAATGAGTCATTTGCAATGGACTCTTTCGGTAGATCACAATGGGATTGCGTCAATGCGGGTGATAAACTGTCGAACTTATGTCCGAGAGCATTTAACTGCACAATTTTTGCTGCATGTAAAGTAGCTGCTGTTGTGTGTTCCTGTGATATTCCCATGCCTGAAACAACAAATACATATTATTAATTAAAACATAAATATTTTTTTAGTTTTATTTTAATAGTAGTTGCTCAATATTTCACATTTTTATGCTATTAACTTACTTTTTTGAACATTCAAGAATTTTTGTTACATTCCTGGTTAAAAACTAAAATAAACGTTTACGTATCATAGCAAACTAAAAACCTATAGCTTAAAAAACTTAAAAGCACGCTCTAAACACTTTTTAGTTTTTTTTTTTTWAATATATCTGAACCCGTTTTTAGGGGTACTTTTCTATATTTTTGGAAAGCAAAATATAATTGAGCCTATGAGSATTAATAAGTTATGTACATGAATGTAAATGAGACACCGAGTTTGTTTGTAATTCAGTCGGTTTTTTCGAATAAAGTATTATCTAAGATATTTTAACAAAATTATTTGAGCGTATGATATTAGAACCCCAATATACCCTATTTCCAAGTTTTCATCAGACTTTATACCATGTCGGTTAGTCCAAATGTGTGGCATTAAAAAAAATTAAGTAAACAGTTAATGACTTAGCGCTGAATATAAAAGGAATTGAGTTCGGCGTTGGTCCAAAACGTATGTATATTCCTAATGAATTTGTATCGAATATTCGATTGAAACACTAAAGAGAGACATAAAACTGTTATTTGGCCAAGGGATGATTAATCAATGTAAAAATTTACATCCGGAGTCGTAGGAGCGGCGTCAAAAATACGACAATGGGCGTGGCACCGCCCACATTTATGTGAAAACCCGTACCTCGAGACCTGGCCCACCGATTCAAGCTCAAGTGCCCAGGTACCGAATATAGCTCAAGCACACAATTCGTGCTAGAAAAACAGACATAACGTTTTTTGTGTAAGTAATTGACGTGTTTATTTTTTTTTTTGTTGTTGCTTCCGACTGAAGGGAAATCGGCAACAAGCAAGATTGATGCATATGGAACTTCACCAGAACGCGTGTGGTACGCAATGTTCTCCAGGTGTATTGTCCAGCCATATTTCTGTGAAGAAAGGAGATGTCTCCCTTTCAAAAGCGTTTGGTTCCAGCGGGTGGTTACTCTAGAGCTCCAACGAAAATTTTAAACGAAATTTTCATATTAATTCACTCCACTCCACTTGCCGCTGGCCCCAAGTTCACCTGACCTGACTGCGACAGATTTTTTATGGGGTACAAAACAAAACCCAGAAATCTGACTGAACTGAAGCAGTCCATTAAATCGATAATTGATGCAATCGCTGCTTCAATCATTCAGGCCGCAATGAATAATTTTCTAATTAGGTGTCGCCTATGTGTGGCTGAGGATGGAGATCCGTTACGGTCCATAAGTTTCAAAAAGTATTCTGGGGATGGTAAAATAATAATAATAAATTAAAAGTTTGGGTCCAAGTTGAGGAAATAACTTTCTACTTCCGGCGTCATTTTCAAACTAGTCTACTGCGTTCATATTTTTAATCAAATAAATACATGAAAAACGTTACAATACAATATGTAAACAACAAATATCAGTTGATGAAATAAAACTTATAAGTAAATATTTTCATTATTTGATTAAATCGTCAAGCAATTGAAGAAAATTTGCAGAAAGTTAGTTGCGTTTAGGTGAGCTGCTATTTTAATTAAATTTTTTTTTTTGATGTTGTGTTTAAACTTTGAATAAAGAAGTAATATTAATAGTCTCGAAAAGGCATATGAGAAGACTAATTAMAAATGTAGAAAGTGAAGTACTTTAATGAGTTGCTATTTGTAAGTTTTTCGTGTTTTTATCATGGATGGAAATGGATCGCTTACAATGTCTACCATTTCCCGCTATGATAACTCACTGAGCGATATTTGCGTTATAATATAACCCGGAAGTTCAAAATCTTTATATTAGGTATATAGGAGCTACGGAAGAAATGAACATAAGTAACGACCTTATTCAATTTATTTGTAGCACACAGACATACTTTTGAACTTTTCTTTCATAAAGAAAGTATAATTTCTAAATTTCAAATACATATATAGTATATTTCACACATTGACCGATATTTTCGGTAAAACGTCAATTATAAGCACTGGGATCACTTATTCAGTACCTAGGGGAATAATCAGTTTTCTTTCGATTTACTCAATTTTTAGTCATAAGAGGCCATATTCGGGCAAATTTTTATTTTATATAACATACTAGCTGACCCCGCAGCCGTTGTCCTGCGTGAGATTATGTGTTTTGAAATAAAAAGAAAGTTTAATTTATTATGTAATTTTTTTCAATGTAACGCAGCTTGTTAAACAACATCCATTTCGTGAGCACGCCACGTCTAACTGGCCGTKTGAAAAACATAGAAATTTCCAAATTTATGCCACACACTATGCGACCATCCTTGTGTCCTGTTGATTGTCATCTCAAATGCAATGTTTACGGGAATCGGAATACGTTTGAACTAAAATGGCAAATCGTTAAAACTCAAAGGAATTCGTAGAATCAATCATTCTGCCTCTTGTATTCGAAAGGTGCGTCACAATCAATCAGATTCAATTACACAGGTTCGGCGCAAGCAGATTGCGATACATATTATAATAACGACAGATTCAACTTTGAAACGCAAATAATGCGGTGGCATACCAAGCCTCTCCAAAGAATTTAGAAATTCCACTAGATAACTTGTTAAGACGAGCGATCGATTTGTATGAGCGCAAGTCTCCCGGAATTTGCCTTTGAATCCTCCAGTTTAAGTCAACAACGTGATGAGTTCATCTTTCGTGAATTGATTGCTTTCGCAATGTATGCAAATATGTATGCTTTTGCGTTTTGCCGGCATTTTCACATTGGCATGTAAAAATAATTATGATATGAGTAGAATTTTGTATGAATGCATGCATAGTACTATTTACAGTCAATTTGAACTTGAATATTTAATAATTTCATTTGATTTTTACATAATATACTATACTAATAGTAGTAATAGAAATTGAATTTATCACAACAATAATAAATACATACATATATCGGCTATCATATTAATCTTATTATTTGCTCATATATATACGCATGAGCGCATTTAGAAAAGCAAATCATGTTTTTATCACTTATACATATTACATGTGCGCGCATTAATCTGCTTGTTCATACATTCATATTTATTTATATGTACATACATATATTTGAATTCACTTCCGAACAAATAGTGCACAAGCATGCATACATAATATGCGTACACATGTGAATATGTCAAAAACAAAAAATTGAAGCATTGTTCAGCAAAAACAACAATTGCTCAAATAGCCGAAGCATCAAAAGTCAGTTTAGCAGTCGAATTATCGAAGCCCAAATGTAGTAAATTTTACAACAAAAACGATTTCATTCATAAACGCAGGCGCAAATTCTACTAGCGACCCAGCTTCATTCATAAAAACAGACGCCGTAACATCTCCCCGAGCATGCCTTTACCAACAAATCTTTTCGCGACGATGGCAAAAGTGTCAGAAAAGTGGCAACAATGGAGTTGTCGATTTATAATATTTGTCCATTCTAAAATATTTTTGTGTGACTCGCAAAAATCTGCGTTGATATGTATGCAAGCTCATACACATGCATACATATTTACGCTAGTTTGTAGGCGAAGCTGTTACAGCGGCAAGAGAAGCGGTCAATAGGCGGTCATTCGTTTATTTTTTTCGGCACAGCTTGGATTTTCTATCATCACACAAGTGCTGAACCAATGAGCATGACCAATAATAGAATACATAATTTTCGGGTGTATTTTACTTTTCGACAAAACGCAAGTTTCGGCCATTGGTTGACCGTGACAACGGAGATGCGACACTAGTTATTATGAATGTATGTACATAGTATTATGGCTCATTTGAAATGATAACGAAATAATGCGAATATGCATATTTCATGAAGGTCATTAATTTTCTTCTTCTACCATGGAAACAATAACAAACTAAAGCATAATTCCCGACAACGTTATGAGTCACATTCTGCAATCAAACGGCATGGGCTAAAATCAAAGAGTATACCGGAGTGCTCCTTGCTACTGCGATTTTCTGTGCAAATTACAGTTTAGTTCATTACAGAAGTTTTTAACAGTATCGTTTATTAGGTTGCTGCTACGACCCTCTGTGCCAAGTTACAATTGCATAACCTAATTTAGTACCAAGATTTGGTACGTGCGTACCAAACTTATATATCAATTGAATATTATGTAGGATAATTTTCGTTTTGATTGTATGGTATTCTATTTATATACATATATATACATCTTGCATGCATTTTTTCATTTACACGCATTTCTGTTTCTCTATTAGAGATTTTTCTAAAACCAAGTGGATTATTGCTTAAGTTTGATATTGCTAAGACGGTTGCGCTGGTTATTATAATATATATTTGATTTCTCTTATGCTTTCGTCAATATCTCTTCCTGTATTAATTTTGTACTCAATATTAATGTGGCTCACAGTTACAAGTTACATCACTATTACTAATCGGGGTTGTGACTTAAACCTTACGGCTATATACTGTCCACCTCGTCTTATAATTACAGAAATCGATTTTATAGACTTTTTTGGAACCCTAGGTCAAAGATTTCTAGCTGATGTGTAGCATGAGATTCTAGAGCATAGTGGCTTAAACGATTTCTAATTAACACTGCCGAGCCACCATGCGCTTTTCCATCCGGGTGATTTTTAAAATATAGTCTAAATCATGGTATATTGAAATTATTTTTATTTGTTAGATGAGTTTCTGAAATAAGTATTTCAACAATTTCACTTAATTTGGGAACAAGAGTGTTACTTCTACGTTCGCGCAAATATATTGGAGGTGGTTTGGCATTAACGACTGTGGTGGTACCCTTCGCATTGTCGTCTGAACCATTGCTTAGTATGGCAAATTTGTTGCCATTTAGGATTTTTGGCTTTTTATCATTYGGAGTGCCTGGTTGAAACTTTTTGGTATTGCCCGCTGATTTAACTGCACTTAGTTTCCTTTTCAAATTAATATAGCGA